ACAGTATGATTTGTGTAGTGTGTGTTGTGTGCAGTGTGTAATGTGTGCAGAGTGTGTGCTGTGCATAGTGTATGTTATGTGCTGAGTGTGTTGTGTGTAGTGTTCAGAGTGTGTGTTGTGGACAGTGTGTTTTGTGTAGTGTGCGTTGTGCAGAATGATGCGATCTTTGTGTCGTCTCCATGACTACGGGTGGTCACGTCACGTGACACTCCGGTAACCGTGGAGTTAACGGTTTAAACTGAGGACATAAAAAACTGTTCCTCTGAAATGAGACGGGAGCCTCGACTGGAAGTAGAATCAGGACAGGCTGACACCCCCCCCCCCCCCCCCCCCCCCCTCCACCCCCCCCCCCCAACAAAGACTCTTATCTGTCTCACCTGTGGGCTGTGTGTGTGTGTGTGTGTGTGTGCTGGTGTGTGTGTGTGTGTGTGGTTGATGACCTGCAGCAGCAGCTGGCAGCCTATGTCTCCTGGGTAAACTCTCAGCTGAGGAGGAAGCCAGGCCTGAAGCCCATCACAGACCTCAGGCAGGACCTGCAGGATGGAGTGGTGCTGGTCCAGCTCATAGAGGTAGTAGGTAAATACACACACACACACACACACAGTTCACACACCTGATTGCTCGCTGTATTTCGAGGGAGGGGGAGAAGAAGAAGGACATGTCATAGTTGATGTTTCTGCTGCTTCTCTTCAAGAGATCGTTCCTTTTAGTCTCAACGCGTTTAAATGAAATGTACGATACAATGTTTGTAATGTTCCTTCTTTTGGCCCTCTTTGGTTGTGTTTGGCAGCTGGTGAGGTTCTGGAGGGAGTGTTCACACCTCCACAGAACAAAGAGGAAAGCAGAAAGAATGTGGAGGAAGTCCTGCACTTCATTTCCTCCAGACACATACGCATGCCCCACATGTCAGCAAGAGGTAAACCACAGACAGTTCCTCCTCTTTACTCTAACATCAGGTGTTTTAAGATGTTGTCTACGGAAGAGGATTAGGGACACAGTGAAAATTATTTTGAGAAAAAAGTCAGAATTCTGACGTTCTTTCTTTCTTTATTTCAAATTTCAGAGATGCTGATATTAAAATCAGAATTCTGAAAAAGAAAAAAAAACGTCTGAATCATCTTCTGTTAATATTATATCTGCACACACACAAATGCTTTTTTTTTTTTTTTACTGATTTTACTGCTAATATTTAAACAGTTGTTTGGTAAAGTGAGTGAAATTGATCAGCTGACTGAAATTCGGTTTTTTTTCCAGCTGGGTCATTTTTTTGTGTTCTGGGACAAGGCCATCAGAGGGTGCTATAGGTGCTACAGCACCCCCTTGAGTATGACAAATGTCAAAAATAAAGAATTCTAAAAGTGAACTATGAATGAGTAAACATATAAAAATATACACCAGTATTTCAAGGTTCATGCTCATTTATCCAGGTTGACAGGCAGATGACTTGACTGAACATTGTTGGCTACACCGGTATTCATTTGTGTTATACAAGTCAATAAACCAGTTATATTTTTATGGTAATGACTTGTGTAAGTACATCTTTCCTCAATGTATTTGTCCTCTCAGCGCTCCGTATGTAAAACTCATAACTATACAGATACCAAGGTGCATGGGTGAACTCAGGCACCACGCCCCAAATACATTCATAGCTACTTCTGGCACTAGACTGGCAATCAAGTGTAGCTTTGGTCCTTAACATCTGCTGCTGTGTTGACTTTATATACAGTTGTACTTGTATATTTGTTTTAAATGTCTTCAACATTAAAGGTTTCCAGATGTGCAGCTGGAACACGTAGGGCCAGTTCAGACTGTGGAGCCATATTTTGTCTTTGCTGACGTAAACCATCTAATAATTGAGCATTTGTCATGTTTGGATCCCCATATCATAATCTTCATGGCATTAACCAATAACCATGTAGTGAACTTGACCTGATGTCAAAACTAAGCCTAAGGTCAAAACCCTTGACCTTAAGAACCTTGTGGGACAGAAACTGTCATTTCATTGATTTGAATCCAGAAATACAGGTTCACCCATCCTGAGACTTTCTTTCTTGAAAATTCAAGTGAAAGAACACTCTCTTTTTTATTATCATTACTATTTTACAAATGTTGATAATCAAAGTGTTTTAGTTCAAACCATTTTAGATGTTGCAGTGAACTAATCAATTTTTATTAACTGTGAAACAGTGTAATGATTTTTTAATCCTCATGCAAAGTTAGAATTCATGTTAAGGTCTGTTACAGAGTAATTATGCATTTTCTGATTTTCTGTCTTTGAATGAGCAGTGTAAGTTTGATCCAAGGTCGAAGTCGAAGCAGACAAGTGTTGGAACAACTGTCTTGTTTTTAAATCCTCTCAGACGTAAACAGAGAAGTTGGCACCTGTTTCTCCAAACTCGCCCAAACATTTCTCTCGCCTGTCTGAAAACATTTTCAATCTGTTCCATAACATTCTTGCTGGTTTCTGACTTTCCATAACACCTTACATCACAAAACACACCCCTGTCTGGTTGATATTGACCAATCAGAAACTCTCAAATGAACCGGAAATAGAGCCCTTTAAAATGTCGGTACTTCCTAGTTCTCCCAGTTCTGTGAAGCGGCAGTTCTGTGAAGTCGTTGTTCTGTGAGTTGCCGTTGGAGTCGGGCTGGAGAGTTTGCAGCTCCAGTCGTTTGGGAGAACAGAAGTCCAGCCATGATAAGGCTCTTCCGAGATTGGGATTATAACATCTTCCACCTCTGAGGGGACTTCTGAAGAACCCCACTCATGTGAAGTCCACCCGTTGAGGTGAACTGTTGTTGACGAAGTCCCGTCACCACTCCGGATATATCTCTGCCATCCTACGGAGACGCTGAAAGGTAGCGTTACCTGGAGCTCCTCTTCCGCTGATTCATCGTCAGAGAGGTAAATGAGTCTAGTCCACTACCGAGCGTACCGAGGAAAGCTGGGTCGGATGGAGGGTGTCGTCCTGTCAACACTTTTCACTCATACACACCACATTCTCCCTCATCCATCTTTCACTCCCACTAAACTTCATCTTTCCATCTTTAAAAATTCTTCTATCAAGTAGAAATCATTGGTTCTCAATCACCGCCGTGTGATTTGATGTCTGCTGTTCTGCTGAAAAGTGAAAACAATCGCCGTATTGTTTCTCACTACCTGTAAAGCTGATTAATTATGTTGTTATTTTCATATTTTGCCAAATTAATGTAAATGTTTGATGTTAAACTTTGATTCTACAAATAAATGACCACATTCATTTTGATGGGTCAAAGATAAATAACGTCTCACGTTACATTTTATTAAATTCAATGCACGTTTATATTCAGTCCAGAAAAATGAAAGAATCCGTTTTAATTGATGAATATATCTCAGCATCTGTTCATCTACATACTGGTGGCCCGTCCGTACGTTTCCACCACATACTGGTGGCCCGTAATGGTTCATAAATGGACTGTTGTATTCGTGTAAAGATTGAATATTTCATGTTGGCATGAAGAAATAGCAGATTGTAGCGGTGTTGAAACGCAGCGTGCTGAAGCTGCGGCGCTTGGAGTAAACGCAGCGTGTTGAGCTGAAACAGAGATGTTAGCAGATACTGGTGTTTTGAAAGCTGACATTTGTGAGTCAATATGTCTTTATGAAAGCTGAAATTGTCCATCTGTTGTGTAACATAAGCTGATGAGCTGTGGAATACGTTATTCTGTTTAAACTGTGGTCCAAACGAACAGAGGTTCTGTTGGTTCCGGCTCGGTTCTGAGAAAATTTGAACGAGTTGTTTTAAATAGATGGAGAAACGTTTTAAGGACTGGACGAAGTCTCCACTAAGCTCAGAGTTGATTCGTTACATTTTTTAACAGAAATTGGTGCATTTTGACAGTTTAACAGACGAAAAGTTGACGGACTTGTTCAGATAAAGTAACATGCTAGTTGGGAAAACGCTGCGTGATTGGTTGAATTCAGCTGAGTTAGCTGCTGTGTAACGCTTTCATTGGCTGAGAGACGTGTCGGTCGTGACTAACTCTGACGTGTCAGGTCGTAAAGCCCACCCCGTGCTGCTCTGTCATTGGTAGATTCAGTCACGTGACCCGGAAATGAAACTCGTTTTTCATAGGGAATAAAATCTGCTTTTTAAAGTTCAAAAAGCGCTTTAAAGTTGACTCTGATACGCTGCTCCGTGTCTTCGAAGCATAATCGCTGAAATTTTGCCACTTTTGAGTTTAAAATCCGTCATTCAATGATGTTTTTGAACAACGCTAGCGATGCTAATTTTAAGCTAACAGCTAACGACCGGATGAGTGACGTATCACGTCACTTCCTCCATGTCGGAAATGAGCTCGGTTGCAACCGAAGCCTTCCCTGTGCTTAAAATCACTAAATAAAGCTGCCACATGTCCCATAAAACTCATGTTCGTGCAAAGAAGTCGTGCTTGTTGATACAACGCCACGTTTAAGCTTTAAAACAGTTCAGAAATGTTGATTTTACCGAGTTTAGCCGAAGCTAACTTTAAGCTAAGCGGCTAACAACAGGATGTCAACAGAACGTCACAGGAAGTCGTCATAGACTCCTGCTGGTAGAAAGCTAAACACTGCCCCCTCCTGTAGGAACTTGAGATCACAGTTTCACTAGGTTTTAGGTTATTTTTGAGTGAAATTAAACGTATTTTCTTTCTGTAAGGCATTTTTGAGTTAATAAACGTTCCTCAAAGCTGAATAATCACTGTTATCTTGCATTTAAAAAGTAATTAAGGTATTTATGCAGAAAGGCACTTACCAGGACATTTTTCATTCACTGAATTCCTCAAACAGGAGGGACAAAATGAAAAATTAGAAACTTTTTAAAAGATACGGTTCAGATATTCACAGAGTTGATAAGTTTACTCATTTGCTGGAAAAGATAATGCACGTTTAATTGCTAGATCATTAAGTAAGAGTAAATATATCGGGAAAAAGAGACTTTTCTGATTTTATTTACCACCTAAACAATTACATCTCCTATTTAAAATTTTTAAATAGCAGATATTGGCAGGAGAACAGGAGTAATAACAGTTTTTCTGAAGAAAGACTGATTAATCCTGACACATCATCAATTTTTCTTTTTCTTTTTTCACCTGGTTCTATGAGTAACTGTAAAATAGCAAATTTCTGGAACAGAACGGTTTAAAAAGTGTTTTTAAACTGATGTGCTGTGAGACTTTTTAGAAAATTGCAGGTTTATTAAAAATTCAGTGCTTTAGAGTAAAATACACTAAAAAAGAGCTTGGTAATCTAGTATCTGTTAAGAAATAAGCACATAAAAAGTAACACTGCCAGAGAAGCATTTACTTAAGAATATTCATGAATTGGGGTAAAACCTACAAATAGGTACCCACATTTGAATAAGTTGACTTATAACAGTACTTTTGTGTAAATCCAAAGCTAGAATAGTGTGAAACTCATTGACATTTGAATACAATTATTTACCTGTAAAAATATCTGAAGCTGGCAATTGTTTTACACAGATGAGTGCTGAACAGTGAATAACCATGACAGGTGTCAGGGAAAAAGATTTTGATCCTTATGAGATGAAGGACTGTTTAGAAGATGCGTTAGCGCTGCTGACAGCATCCTTACATCCATATGGCAAACAGGCGGACAGCATGAACCCAAAAGAGTTATTGGACAATCTGATGGAGGTTGCAGAAGTTGTGACCTCTACAGAAATTACAATGTCAAGTTATGAAAAGCTGGCTAGAATTGTAATTTTGCTGAAAGAATCATTCTATGCAGTTGTTAAGAAAGCTGATGACCTTGCACTAAGGTTATACAGTGAAAAAGTGTTTGCTCAGGAAATTGAAGGTCACTACCTTCAATTTAAAAGCGAACACGAGGTCCTCACAAGAAAACATTATGAACAGATGTTTCAATTACAGCAA